TGTTAAAATATAAGTAAATAAAAATTTTCAGTTTGCAATTCTGTTAGAACATTTTGAAAGCATTGTTCCCGGTTTAAGTATCAAAGTGATAGATATATTAGATTGTTACATCGGTTTTGATAGTTATGAATTTATTGAAAAACTAAATTCGCAACGATATATATAAATCTGTGAGGTAAATTTTTGTTCAGAAAAAAAGAATAATTCGAAGATTACAACAAAATTACAAAATAATTATTATAAAAATAACTACAAAAATGAGCATCCAATCTTGCATTAATAATAGGTATAAATTTTTAGATTTTTAACTTGATCACTGAAGTCAGTGGAGGAAGATTGGCTCAGGAGTATAGAAGATATGAAATACGAAAAATGAAACGTGCTTATTACTCTTGGCTTCTCTCCGACTAGTTTGGTCACCTATATATCAAAGACCTTCGTTGGATATCCCTCTAGTATATGATCTCCAAAACTGAAATTCCCAGGACGAAGCACTGCAAACCACCTTCGTCAAACGTAGAATGCCTTCGATTACCACTGCACTGTGGTCAAATTGAAACTCGTAAAGAATGCAGAATCTTACATGTGCTACACGACCAATCCATCCATGACTGAGTCCTTTCAACTTCTTATTCACCAAGAAACCAACGAGACATCCTATCCAGAACCTCATTCAGATTGTGCCCATAAGGTAACAAACAGAATTCAGCAATAATCTGATACAGCAAAGGTATATAGGTAGAACAATGTAATTTATACGCAAGGGGTATGCAGAATGTATAGCTTACAATACTTAGGGTGTTCAAGATTCGAAGAAGAATAAGGACTCACGCAGTGAGAAAAGACAGGTTCGCGAACGATGCAGGCAGGTAGCTGCTTATTCGAAGCCACCCTCGGCTTTGCAGACTACAACATCCTCTGCTGCGCATATCGGTGCCGAACCCCTATGACGGAAAATAATGAAAGTAATGGGAACCCGCCCACTGCATTTAGTCGGCGCAGCTACATGCCCACCCCTTACACCCCTCGCCTTTCTGCTGGCCTGCTTGTCCACCCTACTGGGGTTCTCTGTACTTGCCGCCTTGTTCATTCTCACCCATCCTAGGCTCCATTGGCTATTGTACCTGCCATTTCATTGCCCTTTATTTCATTATTTTCGCCGCATTCCAGTCTCCCTTTGCCCGGTAAGGGGTGCGAATTTCCCCCCCTTTATTTACGGTACTGTAATAACAGACGTCTTAACGGAATTTAAACGTCGTAAATGGGCCGCTGTGATCTCATTAGTTTACGAGATGCTTGCTGCTCTCCCTCTTTCTCCTTGTTCGTGTTCGATGAAGCTCGTTCTCGAGTAATATCGCGAACACGAGAACCTATTCGCGTGACAACATCACAGAAAATATTTTGTAATATACCTTGCATGTGATCCATTCGATGTACCACCGGGATTCGGAAAGTCGATTAAGATGCATCAAAAGTGGGTTTGTACTGTGGGCAAAGGGTGTCTGGAGATATCGGTGATAGCCGACATTTAAGTTGCTTCGTGATCTTGACTTTTAATTATTTAAAATTCTCAGAAATCTCCTTAAAATTTTAAAATGTTTAATCTTTAATCGGTAGTAAACGGCAATGACAGTATTAGATGGTCCCAGACATTTTGAAATTTCAAGTAAGCGTATGATGCATATATGATAATAATTACAGTAATACAGTGCAAATAAATAAGTATACATAATTATTTATTCATATCCGAATAAAAATTAATATTCATTTTACTAAAAGTAGCTGCATCTTTTCAGAAACGGCAAAAATGGGGCGGAAGAAGTCATTTTGACCCCTCTGGCAGTTCTAGTATTCATTGCAGCAAAGAAAGGAACTTCCGTTTCCAACCACCTTCGCAAGCACCCAACCTCAGCATCTACTGACAAACAATCAAACGAATATCGTTGCACAAGTGTACAAGTGTTTTTTCGTCGTAAGCATTTGAGAATGTGCAGCGTGATTTCGCTTCGGTAATATGGTTATAGGCCTCTGTTTCCCTCCTGGTCGCTGGCTCCTCCGATTCTCCATCCTCTCTCTCTTTTTCTCCCACCCTAGCGATTTCCAATGTGTGTGCGTGCGCGTCTGTTGGACCGTCCTTTTCATCCACCCCCACGAATCTCCGGCGCCGCAAGGGGATGAGAACGCCGACACCTCCACCCTCTCACTATACACGCTCCTGAACCGAGAGTAGCTCCGCTCGCTGGCTCTGATCCCTCGCAATTACTTCCCATTATCTGGGTATTAGGATTCACCCCAACTGGAAGCACGACGTGTTCCCTCAGACTCCGCCTATGCCTCCGCACTCCGCCGGAAACGCCTCGACTCTGTCAGCTCGCAATATGCCTTTCTTTCCAGACACGATCGCGGCCTCTAACGTTCGGCAACAGGTAGCAAAGACAACCGGACTGGGCATTGTCCTTGTCACCGTCGATCCGAATATCGATCGATCCAAATCCAAGGTCCTGATGCAAGAATTCTGGGTTATGGATATTTTTCGATGATTGCTTTCTTCTATAATACATGGTTCCCATGTTTGGCTCTTTCATACCCTTGATAGCCTTCTTTGACACCCTTTGGTCGCGTAGAATTATCGCTGAGGGTAATTTGGAGAAGGGGTTGATCAGTGGTGACTGTTTTCGTGGAACTTGATGGATCTTGGATTAGTTGTGGTCCTTGAATGTTTGGTGGTCGTATAGAAAGTATTATTAGCTTTGTTTGATTTGTTATTTGAGAAATGCGTATTGCTATCTCGAGAATTTCTAGATGTTTGTCTTAGTACAGGTCAATGGCAAAGTTTGTTTTGCGGAATGTCCCTCAAAGGCGGTCAGTCGAGTGAAGATTCGATATTGAAATTCTAGAAAACGTGCCGAAATGTTGAAGTTTTCACTACATTTTATCCATTTTCTTAATTGAATTAGTTTGTGATAAGTATAAGCTTAGGTGAGGCTTTTGAGGAATTTTGTGTAACCTGAGATACGTGCCTTTATATTTCATTTAAAATGATCGTGTAATTTTTAGTGACCCAATGTTGTTTCGTCGTATTAATTTTATAACGACGAGATAATCAGAAAAGCGTAACCTATGGCAGATTTTGTATTTTATTAAACATCACAGGTTATTATTAAACATGTTCCTCGTTTATTTTCGTCGATGTCTTTCTGTTTCAGTTGCGTGTTATTCTCTGCCGCGTTCGGATCATGTGACTCGTCGTGTCCGACATTGCTGTTAACTGCAGTACGCACCATCGGAACTTAAACGATAAGGCAAGAGGTTAAAAACCGACATTGACCGTGCCTGAAAAAATGTCTGGGAAAGGTAAGTGAACATCGCTAATGAGGCTAAACAGAGCTTACGTAGCTAATTTCGTACGGAAGTTCTGTAAGAAAGTTCGGTTAGGGGCTAAAACACGATTTACGGTTTAATTCGCGAAATTAAGTCGAGATTAATTGCTTCTTTAGCTCGTAAAGCCCGTTGAGCCTCGAAAATGTCCCAAACAACGAGCAGAAAATGTCACGTTGCCAATTAGCGAAATGATAATGCTGCACAAGAGCCAGGCTCGTCGTTTCTGACCCGCGACAACCTATAAATGTCAATCGTGGTTTTTCTCTGCCGGCAATAGATGCTCGTGTAGAAATTAGTTCTCTTTAATCCTTCGTGACGAATAATCTTAAATAACGAGTAAAGAAACACCGAATTTTAGGGAAAATTAGAAAGCATTAGGATTTTTTTTTCCTCTCTTGTTTAGATAAATAAGTAACGATCATTGACGATTGGTAATCGCAAATGACGATTAAAAAGATACACAAAAATTAACATGAAATTAAAGAGCGAAAAGGTGAGAAACCTCGATAATTTCTATTAGGGTTTTTCTGGAATTCTTATTTCCCATGAGATAAATAACGTTTATTTACAACTGATAATCGTGAATAACGAGTAAAAAATATAAACTCAGGGAAAAAATTAAGAACTGTAGGTGTAAAGAATCTCGATAAGTTCCTACGAAGATTTTTCTACGATTTCTCTTTTTCTCTTTTCTTTTGTATAAATAATTCCCGTTCGACTGGTAGGACGATCAGAAGAATAACTAGTCGAGGAAAGAGAAGAAGTCGTACATCGTGTTACATCATGACATTTTAATCCCAAGTTGAATCACAAGCTAACTTTCTACTTCGCTATAAAAAATGACTCGAAACAGACTAGCTTTATTATGGCATTTCGCTATAAAAAGTGTCGCGAGAGATCGACTCGACTCTAATCACTAGAGAGTCATTTACAAGTCGTTTGCACTTTCTACATAGTCTCGATTCGCCTGTCGAGTTTCTCCAGTTTCTTATCTTTACACTGTTTCACACCGCTATTTTACAGTATCGTTCGATCACAAATGGCTTCCTAACACAGAAGTATCTTTCGCACTTGCTTCACGACCGTTCACCTCAATTACCTCTGATAATGAAAACTCAAAGACGAAGTGAGAAAAACTATTTTGTTATAACGAGTCGTTCTCATGGAATTTCCAAAGTCCAACAGCCTCGTTTACGTCACATCTCATAGCATAATTCTTCTCGTAACCGCGACGCCTCTTGGATAAAAATACCCGAATTTATGAAAGCAAACGATGAGAAAAATGTAGAATTTAACGAGTCGGACTTGGAAATTAAGTAAACGGTTAATATAAAACAACGTTGGATGCTTCTTCTTGAAATTGCACTAGAGACCTCCGTGTATCCGTATTCTTGGACTGCTCGACCAGTAATTGCACGTGAAAGGGCGATCCAAAGTCTTCCAGGGATATTCACAAGATTCCCGACGTCCCTTTAGCATGTCTGACCTTTCACGAATCCGTTCGGGATGCTTTCGAGTTTCTCGTTCCCGTAGCCAACACTGCAGACAGCGTTACGTTTTCCGGTCGGGTCAGACGGTTCCTGCGTGAAAGAGCAACATCATCATTGCACTGTTTCGTTTCAGCGATGTTGGCGTTGAATAGTTTGCCTGTGTTGCGGTGGATGGGACAAGCTAACCGAATGGCGATAGGTGATCTGATGGAAACTCGTCGGTGAGCCGGCACGCTTCGAAACGTGGATGTCACCCGTTCGCGACGGCGATGGCGTCTCGTCGCCCAGGACGTCGATTTCGTCGTCGTCGGAGTCTATCGGCGCGTCGCTGCTCGCCCGTGATTCTCGGCCGCCGCTCAGAGAGAAATCCACTGGTCGTTCTGTGAACAGTTTTGTCGCAAACGAGCTTATTATTCGGATTTGTCATTCGTCATTCGCTTATCATTGTAATTCTTTATTTCTAATTTGCTTGTTACTGTGATTTCTAATTCGTCGTTTGATTGTTGCTGTAATTTGTGATTTGTCATTCGCTTATTATTGTAATTTTTTATTTTTCGCTTACTTCTTACCGTAATTGTTAATTTGCGATTCTCTTGTTATTGTAGCTTTTAATTTATAATTTGCTAGTTACTGCAGCTTTTAATTTGTAATTTGCTAGTTACTGTAGCTTTTAATTTGTAATTTGCTTGTTAGTGTAATTCTTTTGGTAATTCGTTTATTGTCGTTACTTATTATCTGTGTTTTCCGTAGTCTAGTGACTTTTCAATGACTTTGTATTTCTGTGTTCTTAGATTTTCTATACTTATAGATTTCGATAGTTGGTGTCGTTCTATTACACTCCAAAGTGTCTTTACTTATGCTTTTTTTACATCAAATGTTTTACACTTGCTTTGAGAATTTCTATACAAGTTTGCTCGTTCGACGCATTTCATAATTTCATGTAATTTAATTTCTCGAACCTTATGTCCATTACTTTATTTATCATTACTTAATGAGGAATGCAATCACGCTTAATGAACCGATGTTCGTATTACGAGGTAATTAACGTCTAAATTCTTGTAGTTGGCTAGCAGAAGAGGTTAATCAAAAGTTAAGTTCGTACACCAAGTTTTCTCGTGTGGTTCGATTTAAATGGAGCAAAGGATGACATTAAAGCGAAGTCGAAATTTAATTAGATATTTCCGAGATTCGATTGAACGTACAAATATAGCAAAGTTACGATTTTAACGTTTAATGATCGAGAATAACGTGTACATACGATTCGGAACGAGAGAAATTTTACCACAGAAACTCGGAATATTTACCTCGAGTTCTGCACGAAAATCATAGATATTTGTCCGGTAAAATTTAACAGTTCTACAAACAGAATTCAGAAACTCCGAAGTGAATTTCCCGTCGATATCTCACGAGACCCACAAAATCCTGAATTTCGAGATCCAAACTTGCTACTCTACCGTACTTTTTCTATTTCTAATTCGTAAAATTGCTAAGAAGCATCTGGATCATCTTCCAATTAGTTATTCCTCTCTCAAGAAACAATCCCACTATCGTATCTCAGAATCTTTTCCCCTCTTAGTAATAGCGATCTCATCTCGAACCATCGATCCCTAACATTCGTGTGTGATGGAACTGCACGACAAATATCGTGTAAAATCTGCAGAGAACGAAAGGAAACAGAAGAGAAAATAACCGTAGAAAGGTTTTCCAACGGTTCTTATCTCGTGGTCAGAAAATCGACTGATCAAATTGGGTCAGATATGTGCCGGTACACAACTAAGGTCCTTGGCAGCGGCCCTCGATGGCGGGCAATCGTGAATGTAGGTCTGGCCGAGCACTTAGCCGATAATTGACTAATTTTCTCGAAGACCGAATCGAGAAGACAAGAGGTAAGAACCGGGGGTCGTAAGACGCCGGATTGAGAGCAAGGGAGAAACACGGGTCGAGGAAGAGAGTGATGGATAGAGGGTGAAACTGAAAGAGGGGTTGTCGTGACTCTGTCGGGTTCCTTAGACGGGTATCCGAGTCTCTAGACGAGGCGGTCTCATCTTCTACGTGCTTTCCACCCCTTATAACCCCCTTCTTCCTGGCTGCCAAGGAGACGTCTACTAACTTCGTTAGCCCTTCCTACCGAACGAAGCCATCTTGGCCACCGAGACGAGCAAGTTGCCGGAGGTTATGAGTAGATGTGGTGTAAGTCGCATCTGGGGTGAGTTCGAATCGCGACAACGGCTCTAGAGATCATTTGGCAGAGAAAGGACGTTGTTGAAAAAATACCATTGGTTGGATATAACATCCCGAGGACTTAAAATCGACGATACCTTGACTACTGGGATAAGTAGCTTAGAGATTACGAATAGATGACGCGTTGGTTATATTGGCATGAGCTTGGATAGCACCGAGTTCTCTAGAGGGTTTGTGTTAAATCTTAATAGTGATTATTTGGCAGAGGAATAATGTTGGAAAAATATTATTAGTCGGTATGATAGGCTATAGACTTGGAATTATTCTTATTGGTTTAAATCCAAAATGGTGGTTTTACCCTTACATATCGATGGTCTTCTACGGGCAGAATTCATATTATATTGTATTCTCTAATGAATATACTTCGTCAGGTTCGAGACAATCTGACGAGAGTTGTTTGCGTCCTAATCGAGAGCGTTTGTGAACTGTTACTCCACCACGTTCTTTTATCATCTATAAACTTGGACTTACGACTTACATTGCTATAAATAATCGTTCATCTCTAATTGCCAGCGAATGGAAGTAGCTTTTGATATTTATTCTAAATTTCCAATAGAGAATTAGGCTTAAATCGATAGGAACTCTATAATTTTTCGAAAGTAAAAGATCTGAGGGATATAGAAAAATTATAGGTATGCTGGTAAAAATTTTACTTACACTTGCAAAGAATCTAAGTGAGGAAGGTGTCAGGATGAAGTATCAGAGATGAAAGAGTACATTTATACGAAGGTTTTTGAAAATTGTGTCTCGATACACATCCATCTGCTGAAGCTAGTTAGCTAGTTAGTTAACAGATCCACCCAGGCAGTATTAAACAGCTACGATTACTTGAACATTTCTCCTAATTAGTATTTCGAGTTTTTGCCGAGCGAAATAGTGTTTTCGAACGTGAACGTTACAGCTTTAAATCGATTCACGCGGACGAATCCGATTCGATTATTCCCAGATCGTGGCATTTACTACATTATACCAGCGCCGATCGTGCGCTATTGTGCGTGTACAAAGCGGTACAGTTATCGGGAATTATTGCTCGATCTATTTGAACGATGCTGTTGTTTCGTCTTGCCTGTTGTTTACACCATTGCGATTCCCGTGAAAGATATGCATTATGCTTGCGCGATACAAATCATTTTCTATCCAAATCTCGAATAACACCAAACTCGAATAATACCGAATAATAATACCATATAACAAAACAACGAATCCTCTATTCGCGAAAATGCTAATAAATCGTTCGATAAATTAATAGATCGTAGATCACGAGAATAATACGTGATTAAAATTTAACATCGATATTTATTTTATTTCAGGCGAAATTTTAATTACGAGATCTGAAATCGCATTCGAGGATTGAAAATCGGCGATCGATCAAGCATCTCTCGAAATACCCTTCGAGTTGGATTTACGAATCGAATTTATGAATCCAATCGATGGATTATTTTTTCCAACGCTGATGGTTTTTCTCTGTTAACAGGACGCTGCGGAAATGACATAATGGCACGGATCGAAGTCTCGAAGGCAACTTGCAGGAACGATAACACGGTTAAACGGGGATACGAATTGCGGGAAATTGTACGGCAAAAAGCGATCATTATCCATGCAACGGTAGTTAATCATTATAGTTGCTGCAACCTCGGTTATGGTCTGGTTAGTTAACTAAAGTTGCGTAATTTATTGCCAGCCGAATTTTGGTTGCATTATATGGTCCATTAGCATGATAACAGGGAACTATTTGACGTACACGGAAATTCCGACGCGCTGGCCGCGCTCGAATGCAAATTGATAATCACAATTACGAAGTTTATACTAATAACGATTTAATTGCGATACACAAGCTACGATCTACTTTCCGTCTCGATTATTACTTTTCCGCTTGCTACGACGGCGCCAATTACGCGACGCAAAATCGTTAACAATTCTCCGCCCGTTCGTTCACCACACCTTCGTCTTTTTTCACCCTTTTATACTCCATTTTTCGCCCGATTATCTTCCTCTTTTCCGGAAATTTGATCGAAGCGGTGCGCAATCTGATTATCGAAATTTCGTGAGTAATAGTAACACAAAATGGAAAATATTAAATACCTTTTTTTGAAAAAGAAGGAGATGCGACTGCTACTTCCGATGGATTGATCGTGGATCTTCAGATGTGGATGATTTTGCTTAGGATTAGAGGTAAACCAATGAGATCAGATTGAAATGATCGTAGAAAAGGATATCACTTAAATGGAACTATTTATGAATATTTATAGTTTTCTGTTTTTTTCTTTTTTTTTTTTAGAATTCCCGAATTTTCATTGAATCTTCGTCGAATCAAGATGTAGAATTCTATAATCTTCGATTGAGTGGGAAAAGGAGTATGAATTGGTAATAGTAAAGAAATTTATACCTTTTTTTTTTTAATTCTTGAATTTAATTGCTAAATTATCGATTAGGAAATACGATATAAAAGAATATTTTACATTATGGTCTTTTCGTTTTTCAGAATCTCCAAAATTTAATTACCATATCGAGGAATCGAGTAATTCATCGAATAAAGGCAAAATCCTATGATGTACAAATTGAAAAAAGGCTATGCGTACCTTTAATTTAATTTTATCTTCAATTTCGAATTTTCAAATTTTCGAGCGTTCCGAAATCCAATTTTTCAATTAACCAAAAACGATGACGCCATTGCGATATGCCGATCGCGTGCACGTATTTCTTTAACCGTCAAAGTCTTCGTTAATTTCCCAACTTCGTTAATATTTCCCGATTTTCGAATACGATCTTCCGCGTCATTCGATTTCTTTATTTTCATTCTACCTGTACGCTGAGTTACAAAATATGATTTATGAGCAATTGATTATGTAGGACACATCGTGTTGTTAATCCGAGCTAATTGATGCGACGCAACGCGAACGGGCGCATGTTTATCGAAAAGTCGATACATGTGTTTAGTGGTAATTACGCATTGTTAGGCGGATACGGAATTGCATAGGTTCTTGCAATTGCAATTAAACGCTTGCATTAGATACGCGATGCGTGAAAATTTTAAGCGTCATCGAGTTTACAATGGGAGGCTAACTTTCCATTTTATCGGATGCAACTTTGCTTAGTCGAGATCGTTTGTTTCGTCTGTCTGTCGTGATCATTTTGTACCAAAGTATTGTTCCTCCGAATTTACTACCATCGCTTCGTTATCTCTCCGCTTTACTCTGTTATCGTAAAAAAATCGTAGATTTATCTCATAGAAAAATATAATTCTCCAATAAAGGTAGAAATAATATAATTTTTAATCGAACATGATTGATCAACAACAATCGACGAGTATTACGATTAATCGCTATTGTATTAGAAGTTATTCCTAACTTGAGTTATCAAACGAATTAAATATTCGACCCAGTGTCATCTCAAGATTCGAAAATAATTTACTTTAGGTTCAGAGATTTGAGATATCGAGATTTGTAGAACTTTGATGAAAATGTTAAGTGTTTTGAGTCTATATGCAAAATTGGTAACTCGCTCGTCATAAGTGCAGTGAAATCTCTAATATTGCAATTAACAGAAAAACCATTCGTGCATTTTCTTCGTTTTACTTACTAATATCTTTTTAGTGATTTTTTCGCTTATCAGCGAACGTCGAAGTGAATCGACAAGAATTGTTCCTAGATTTTATTGAAAATCAGGGATAGATTTTGCCGTTGTTAGAGGGTAGAAAAAAAATGGCTGGCTTACCGGCTGGTGACGTAACGGAAACGGATTGACCGGTGCATTGCTGATTGGAATTCTGATTGCCGTTGCTTCCCGCGCTTCTGTTCAATTTTATCAATTGTTTCTTGTGCTTCATCCGCCGGTTTTGAAACCACGTTTTCACTTGGGTCTCCGAGAGGTGAAGAGCCGCCGCAAGCTCGACCCTTTCCGGCGTGCTGAGGTACCTCTGCACTTCAAATCTGGCCTCCAAACCCGCTAATTGCTGTTCACTGAACACCTAAATACGACAAAAAGAATTCCCCGTGTATCCATTCTAATTTTAACTCGTCTCGATCGGGTGACATTCGAATTAGCTCCAAAAAACGGGCAGAAATTCTTTGAAACTTCGCATAGAAACTAAACGATGGAGAATAAAAATTGTTTAAGGAATTATAAAATAATTGCGAAGTGTTAGAGACAAGGTAAGCGTATGGAAAATTTGATTTAAAGAAATTAGCCAAAAGTACGTAATTATTTAAGTTATTAATTAGATATTATACTTAAATAAGTTTGAATTGTTATGATTCCAGTACCTGGTGAAATGAAGAATATTAAAGAAATTATAAATAAGTCAAGTCCGATGACATCTCGTCAAAGAATCGATGTTAAGATTAAAGATAAGATTCAGTTTAATCGGGTGCAACTCGAATATTACGAAGCAAGAGATTAGCAAGCAACGAAGTAGTAGAAGAAAAATAAGGATTACAAGTAGTATCACTCACTGTTCGTGCCTTCCGTCGTCGGCAGTGCTTCAAGGCAGCAAGTTCAGTAACCCCAGGCACCACTCCAATTGCGGTGTTACCGAAAAGTGGTCCCAGGAAGAAGGTGGCCGTAGGCGGTGCAGAAGGGTAACCAGGTAATAAACTCGCGAATTGCTGATACTGTTGATGCTGCACCCCATGACTAGACGTCAGATGCTGATGATGAAGTTGATGGTGAGAATGCGGTGGAGCAGTGCCACGACTCAAGATGTCCTCGATCAAAAACGAAGTCCTACTAGCAGAAGTTCCATTCTGACCTGGCTGCGCCTGCTGCTGTTGGCAAGTCGACTGCATTGTTACGAGGTGTGTAACTCGTTACATAGTTAACGAACGATACCACGAGCCTTCTTCGAATCACTTCCTCAGTTAACTTTGTCGCTATTCTTTACTAGGCACCAAACATGATCTATCTCTTCTGTGTTCCTCCGAAGGGTTGCTCAATCGTAATTCACTCTTGGAATTTACGGCTTTTGTAGAGGGTTTATGTGACATCCACGCCAAACAGTGTCGACAGTAGCTCCAAGCACAACTTGATTCTTCTTCCAATCAACGTCACGTTAAATACCGAGTAAATACTTCTTCGTGTATACTCACTCCGCAAATATCTATAACAACGTTTCAACCATCAACTATCCGATACTTGCAACTGCAACCATGCAACAATCCGTCGACAAGCTTCCTTCACCCACAAAAGTCGCGTGAATCTTCACCATCCACCCTGAAACACCTAACTCTTCACCACAAGAGACAAGCCTGGGTACCACGTTCACCAAACACTTGGAATCTCCGAAATACACCCCACAACACACTCTTCGCTACACGTCTTCCCGTCAACAAACGTGTTTCCCTCCGATCAATCTCACGTCGTTACCCTCGCGAAGATATAAAAAGATGACACCCCGTTGGCAGGTGAGGGTCGTTTTGGCGCGTTTCAGGGCTCCCGGTAAAATTCTAATTGAATCGAATCTGCCAGCTGTGGAAAGGAAAGGCTGGAGAAGGCCGCGAGACGCAGCGTCGCTCGGCGTCGACGTTTAGGGAGTATCGGTGCGCGATTCAAGGCGATTCAAGGCGATTCAACACCCCTCTAGCCCCGCGCGCGCGCGATCATCTCCACCCTCAGCCGCTCTAACTGGTCAAGAAAAGTAAAGCTCGGAAGCGGATATCGCGGGGCTCGAGTGACGCTGGCATTGGTCGGCGTCGCGACGCCGGTCGTCGTCACGGTTGGTCCCGTGGCGAACGCTGGGCGGTACCATCGGCGCCGTTTCCATGGACACGCGCGTTCGTCGCGGCTTCTGGCCACGAACGATCTCTCACCCTTGCCGGAGCAACCCCCTCGAATCTGAAAGAGAAAGGGTGGGTCGGAGAAGGAAGGATAGTTCTTCTGTATTCGTGGTTCCCCATGTCGTCGTTGTGCATTCACATCGACTGCTGGATAACGGTGTTCACGCGTGTACCTTTGAGGCAGCTTTTTCTACCGCTTAAATTGTATTTCTTTCACCATTATTTTCTCTCTCTTTCGTTTCAGTCGCTACTTTTTTCCTTCTTTTCGCCGCTGACGAAATCGGTTTCAGTCCGGCTGCTGAATCGGCAGAAACCCGTAGAACAATTTCAGGTATTTTTTTGCGTTTATATGCTTTTATCTATTTCCTTTTTCGTTCTTCAAGGGTGGCTCATCAGTTCACGGGTGGTATTATAGGATTCATAGGATCGCAGGTGGTAGCTGCAATTGGGAAAAATGTGGGATAAGAGAGAATAGGTATGGCGATACGCATTGATGTAAATTCGAAGAATTTACATGTTTTGCTGAATTACCGCGTGCATGTACTTCTAGCCGTTGTCTCGTGCCGTGATTTTGCTTCGTTGTCTTCGTCCGTCTACCGTTTTTAGAGGATTAATAATAAATTCCGTTAAGCGACGAGAACGGATTTCATTTGCCGGTGTTGTTTACCGCGTTTCATCGCGTGCATTTACTTATCCCTTTCTTATCCTTTCTTCGCTATCTCATAAGTATTGATCCTCTATCCGCGTTGAAGTATATAAAAGCTCCTTCGCGAGTCAATGCATCTGTATTGAACTTTGAAAGGGTGGAGAATGCGGATCAGGAGAAGCAGGAGTATCAAATTAGATTACTTATTGGACGATGTGTACGCGACGCACGATGTACGATGCACGTCCAAAATAGGCGAGTGTTGGTGTATACGTGTGTATAGTCCTCTGTGCCTAGCCGAGGCTATCTTTCGATCGATGCAGTTATTATGGCATCACGTCGTAGACGCTAACGCAATTTTTTCAGTGAGACATGCGATGCAACCACTAATTGCCGTAACTGTGAGGTAGTTTAACGAATTTCCAATGTTTCCATTTCCTTTCTTTAACACACCGATGTACAGTTCGTATACAGGGTGCATCACATGAATGTTATAGATCGTGACTTCATTGTTAACGCATTTACTCCGAAATGGCAGAGGAAAGGAGTTGTTAGTTCGAAATACATAGAAAAACAAGAATAACAATTAGTATACTCGCACCTCGTACATGTTCAATCTCATTTTTCTCCAGAACAGTGAAACGAGAAGATGTTATTCTTCTTTGCCGCTTTATTTTTGAACGTAGAATCATTACCACGCGAGTTGTGCCTCGATTTTTTAGACACCCTGTATAAATACTTTCGTCCGTCTCCGTATATGTGTAAATATCCTCGTGCAAGTAATGCAAACTTTTCGTCTGGTGAAAGAGCACGTTTACTTAATTCGCTACGCAAGTACCAGCTATAAAACATTCCAGGCTAGACTGTTTAGTAAAACGCACGTGTAATCATCCGTAAAGCCCGAGCTGGTGTAGTCATCCCCTGTATTAGAGGGCCTCTCTCTATTTGGACGACGGCGGAAGGGAGAAGTGGCGCGTGCCGCCACTTAGACGGGGTTGCTTCCGCGATTATTGGGTAAATTAACATCCCGGTAATTGTGTTACCGGCGAGTGTCCATTCATCCGTCCCGTCGATCCCCCGGCGGTTCGCAATACGATGCAGTCAGCCCTCGATGTCGATGCTAAAGCCCAAAATCCCGTCCGCAAGCTTAACGCTGTCGAAACTAGCCCTCCGCTGTTCCGGAAACCGCTCCCGTCGTCCACCGACTCTAAACACATCCTCGAGGGACTTGTTAGACGAAATGAGCAAACTTCGCGGGATCATTTAGACGGTAATCGACTGTGATTATTATGCATCGTTTGGTACTCGGAGAATGATCGACAGATTATTGTAAAACGCGTTATCGTCGGATGAAAATTTCACTCGCGTTTTTGGTTGCAGGTGACGAAGCTGGCGCGAAAAGACCAATCCCTGGAAGGTCCATTTGCGTATACTACCGATGAGCCGGGCACGCACCGAACAAAATAATAGCGTTTTATTGATTTGCCATCGTATATACAGTGACGGACGCGAGAAAGTTTAAATGTTAGACTGTACGAAGGAACACGATGATTTTACAAGGAGGATTATATTTTATGACAGCAAAGAATTTTAGATAAATATAAGTACTTTTATTATTATACCATATTTGTTATATTATAATTAGTACAAAAGTTAGAGATATTTGTATGTATAAATGCTGACTTTAAACTTTCTTTTTTGTCCGTCACTGTAAATATTTTATCGGTATACCATATATACCAGTGAATTCTACTAATTTGGGATATTTTTATATAAAGGGCTCTAATAATATAAATTTTGAAAGTAAAGGGAACTTCGAAAATTCGTTGCTAGCCAATCACTTAAGAGACATGTACGAATTGTACGAGTCTCGTTTGCATAACTTAGAAGTTGATTTTCTGAAACCACTGTGCATTCGAGCGGAGCACGTATAGTTGTTAAGCTTTGTATTTATGTATATTAATTAATACTTGGAAATATCGATAAAACACTACCGATACGTGTTTCGACGGTGCAATCATCGATAGTATAAATTATAAATGGATTTTTATTTTGTACTGGTACTGTAACTTGGTATTTGGTACGATGCAGGGATGCTCTGTTTGCTTCCCTGACTTAGGTGTTCTTGAAATCCATACTTTAAGTTCTTAGTGGTACAGTGTGATCGTTATCAGAACCATCTACAGCTTGTAACTATAGGTATTTAACGCCAAGCAGAGAAACGAAACAAAATTGTTAATTGATAGTAAAATCTATTCCAAATTAACGTCATACAGTATCGATTCCCATTCGATATTTTTTCAACTTTATTTTTTCAAAGTATTTTAATTTATCATTTTATAAGTCTAAATATTTTTATTTTCGTCTGATTTTACCATTACATCCCTCGAAGTAACTATACGTCTAATCGTTTACGTAGGATCATCAGGTCTTACTAAGGATCTTTTACTAGTGTCTCTGATAAAACGAAGCGATTGTCTCATCTTTTCTGTTAATCGATTAAGAGTTATCGGAACGAAATGATATGGAATTTTAGACAGCAATATCTTTCATGTCGCTAATTTTTGTACAGGCTTGTCGTTAGAATTTGTAGAAACTATATGTCGTTTTTGTCCACCGATCGATGTGGAAGTCAGTAGGTATTTATTAAAGAATTATTATATCGCTAATTCCCATGTTCTATTCGGGTTCTGTAGGTAGTTATTACGCCCCATGCTTATGAGAATGGGCGAGCTGGTTGGGTAATGTAGAAACGTACAGAGCACTGAATGCAGAGTAAATGAATTCCTCAAAGATTAACCAGATAACGGTGGTATGGCTGCTAGTTAGGGTCATCTAGCTAGGCTAATTATACAGAGATTTAAAAGTCAATCGCGATAAGTAATTTCTCACGTGATCATTCCGTGTTTACCAGATGCGTTCCACAGACTGAAAGGCAACGTAATTATTTATACACGTATTTTATTCAGTCCCTTCTTAAGTAAACTCTTTCGACGTAATATCGATCATAATTTACGAAGGATGATTCGAAAACAACACACATGTTAATACTTTATTACAAAAATACGCACGTGGATGATGAAATATATTAGAAGATCATGCTAAAAGATCATATGTACATTTTAGTCGACTTTGTGATTTTCATACCACTCGACGACTAAAAGGAATTACCTCGGAACATAGTTGGCACGAGAAACGATCCGTTAAATAGACGCTATTACAATTAATTTTTAAGGTAAACGTAAAAATTGAATGAAATAAAAATTATGGTTGCTCTTTGCGATCTATAAATTAAATAACAAGTGAAAAATAGCAATTAGAAAACTGCTAATGCTTCTCTCCCATGATCTTCGTATACAAACGTGAATAAAGGATCCATCAGAACGAGATGTGCTATGAATTATGATTTAACATAAATTAACATCGTTGAAGTGTCTATGACGAAACTCAACAAAACGTTTAACCCGCTGGTTTTCATTTCAAACGCAGTCCTGCTGATCAAACTGTCATATCTTTGCTTATCACTCTTTTCTCGCGGCTTTATCACAAGGAACGCCCGTAATCGTCTGACAAATGATTCACGACATGCTTACACTTTTTACAGCTTCGACGAAACACGGGTCTACAAGACAAGATATCGATCGTATTAATTCGTCCAGTCAACTCGATGGAAATTCGTCGACGGACTGGAAGCTTCAAATCTCGTCGTCGTCCATGGCTCTCTTATAGAAGGCTCGCGAGAAGCTGGCCGGGCCTTGGGTACCGCAGAAGAAGTAGCCGCGACGCCAGAGGACGAAGATCGTAAGACAGACAGGAATGGCGAGTAACAGACCGATTAACACGCCTATAAGAATCGTCGCGTCTTTTTCAGGCCTCGCGCCGTTCATATCCAAGCAACGGAGCTTCCTATGAGACAATGACATCAGGTTCTTCCCCGCATGCTCCGGCGGTGTGGCGCAGGTGAGTCCATTTACTTCTTCTCCCATCAGCTTCTTGCCGTATTTCGGCAGCAGCATACCGATCTATAGCCAGTGAAACGATATCATTACTATTTATTCCATTTTAGAGATACGATTGGACATGGGCAAATTGGGTAAAATTGAACCATGGTAATTTACTTATATTGGTCCACCGATACCAGCAATTTTCAATCTATGATATGATGCAACATATACGCGTTAAATATTCTCGGATGTACACAGGTATATATTAAGTTATAATTGTATATTACAATTGATATACATTATCGATAAAGTAGTTCTGGTTTTGATTATATTAGTTAGATGGTATATGAAAAAGAAAGTTGACAACCACTGATCTATGCAAATATATCAACGTGTTATTACCTTTTTCAAATATATATCTCTCGGTTAAAATGCTACGTTACTTAAAAATTGCTTACAATTAGGAATTGTTGACAAGTTTAGCTGGTTATCTCGTATATACTTTGGCATAAGAGACTAATAACAAGTCGACTTATCATTTCAGTGTATGGGATTAAGCTGTAATTATGATGCGATACAATACCCTGTTTGTACGTATAGTAAGCTGTGTATTTAATTATCTTCGACTAGGACCAATCTTTGCTAACTCCGGATTAACGTATTTTCTCGTTTATATGCTTTTTCGTGCATTATTGATGACAACACTATATGTGATCGTGCATCTTCGTTCATGCGCCTACGCTTAAACCACAAGAACCAGCGATAAATCGTAAACCAAATATTTTTCGTTCACACATCTTTCCTCGTACCAAACTTCATTCGTTCGCAATATAAATACTATCATTGTAACATCCTTGATTGCAAACATACTTTACTATATTTTACTATTTACACTGATATTTCAAATTCTGCTTTTTTTAACTCCAACGACACGATGGAATTCGACTCATTCGAAATATCCACGTTAAAAATGTCGAGCTTCAGATATCGACAATTTGTTGACATTAGTGAATTCGGTGCTGCAGCGAACCGATATCAAACGTACAAGATTAATTAATAGGTCGTTTCAGTTGGTAATGTAATTATTTTTCCAAAGGGAATTAAACACGCGACAAAACCTATTATTTTTATGAGAATGTCCGAGAAGAAATATATATAACATTTCTTTTTTAACTAGGTCAAATTAATATTTGCAGAACTTTTTTGTTCGATGAAAGAGATGCTTGCGTATAATCTAAATTTGCTATACTTCCAATCGGTGCGAGATAATTGTATGAAAATAATGGAATAATAACGGGAAAGATGCTGGAAAGGCAGAAAAGATCGGTGTAGATGGAACTGCAAATTGGTGTCGCCCGGAACAGCAAATCGATCAGTTCGATAGAAGGCTCGGGATTCAAACGGACGTGGACCGTGTATTTCGTGATTGCCAGAACTTACCAGATATTGATTATTGCAATCGCAGCTCCATTTGTTGTTCATCAGATTCAATTCTTCAAGCCAGTCCCACCTTGCTACGAATTGCTGAGGCAAATATCGCAGGGCGTTATTCGATAAATCGAGTTTCTTTAGTGGCGGCCATTCGGGTCCCTCAGAGTTCGCCTACGATTATTTTCCATATAATATTCTTCGTGACGTTCTTTCTCCATTCCAACAATTTATTCTCTCTCTTTTCATCTCGTGAGCAAGAAAAAAAGAAGAGAATAAAGGAACCGAAGAAAGATAAACGATGACGAGTACTTCTTCAATCATGAATTCCGTTAAATGGAACAAAAAATACAAAATTTGTAGAAATTCGACGTAATGCATGCGATGTTTGTGTAAATAGTAAGGAATCAGTGACGGTTAGTTTTGGAAAACTCAAGTTACCACGGTCGTAAGAGCGTAATCGTCGATCGACTCCAATTTTGGGCAATTTTCTATTCGAAGAGACTCGAGCGATGTCAGGCCTGCAAAGGCACCCGACCCAACCATGGTCAAATAAGGCATGCAACAGAGGCTTAACTCCTTCAGCTTCGGCATAGTCGGGAACGAGTGTGCATGATTGATAACTTGAATCGGATTTTCGTCCATGTAGAGAATCTCCAGTGTGGTCGCCTCTTTGAGAGCAGTCGGCGCGGTTGCGAATTGATTTCCGCTTAGATTCAGCTTTTTAAGGACCCTAATTAACGTTTCGTTTAGTCATGTAGACAAAGATTAAAAAGCTTTGTTAAAGGATTGTAACAGAAATGTGGAACGCGAGGAAAATAATAATGGCCGCGAGCTTAATGCTGTACAGGATTAAATTCCCAAACTTTTCATAACCAGGCGTATTAATAAAATTCTACAAAAAAGAATTTTATAATTAGATATATGTGTGTGTTTTTACAAATGTGTAGAGTATATTTGATATAGAAAAGTCTCGAATATTGATTTAATTTATGAGAATATTCAGAAAAATAACGTAATTGACATAAGGAACTGCGTAGAAGGTATAAGTGCAGTTACTTTCTATTAAGCATAATTGGTGTATAAACGAATAATCAAATTAAATACGATATGTGGTATATTGTTAGATAAACGGAATATTATGTATTTTTTTACTTTTTACTCTGGGTAATCTCACGAATGTTCAATGGATTAGCGTTTAATGATTACGATAGAACATTTTTTAAATAGAAACCGATGTTTTTAAACATCATTCAGAGTGTCCAGCGTTTATTGCCTTTTGTTCGTGATATATATTATATATTAATAGATACTAATCTATCGTAATTTTTTTCCAATTTTTTAATTTTATTATGTGTTTTTACCATACCATTTAAGCAATATTATTTCATTGGTATACACAATAGTTGACATAGTGTGCATAAAAATCTATGGAACATCCTGTATAATCTCTATAACGCGTTGAAAAATTCTATCAAACCTTCGTGGTATCAACCGTGGTATCTTTCTTATCAGTGTAATTCGCTCTATCAAATCAGTTTCCGTTGTATCTCTGTTTGCTTGATAGTTTGCAATTAGTATCGAGAAACTAAGATACTCACCTGGACGAGTAGAATTGAATGTCCGGGAGAGTCTTTAGACCACAGTAACTCAAGTCTAACTCTTCTAGGTCTGGAAGAGAGCTGAGCGCTATGGATGTACGACTGTCGATCTTCGAAAACAGATTCCCGGATAGATTGAGCACTTTCAGACTCGTCATGTGCTCGAAAATATCCTGATGCAACGTATGCAGCACGTTATGGGCCAAGTTTAACACCACCAATTTTTCCAGCGGTTCGTAAGCTTCCGGTGAAAACTTTCCCTGAGGAATCGAGACAAAGACGAATTTTGAATAAAGTCCATGCAATCGTTCGAAATGAATTTTAAACGACAATGAAATTCGAAGAATGATTTCTGTTATCGATCTAAAATATTTTACCATCGTACGAGCAACTCGGAACGGCGATTTAAATTTACTCGAGTTCGCTGGAATTTTAATTGGAAATTAAATTTCGGTTGTTTCCAATACTAATATACATAGGTAATTATATAAATAAGAGCACTGATGTTAACAACGATATCGATAAGTATCAAAATAAAAGAGTACAAAATCAGTATAGACATTGCTATTAATTGATATATCGTGTCACTGTACAAACTTCTTCTGGCACTAAGATTCCGAGATAACGATTATGATCGTGACTAACGAGAGATTGCGCTGTTAAGTAAGTTCCAATTAAATGACCGTGAAATAAAAATACCAGCAGCGTATAATATCAGTTAAAATCGCGAAGCCTCGAAAGGAACGTACGCTTACTTTAAACTGAGTCAACGTTTTCGCATGCATATGAGCATTACCTCGAATACATGAGGTTGCAAATTTTCTCCTGTGAGTTGATTGTGGCTCAAATCCAATTCAGTGAGATTAATTAGCTGTTTGAAGGCGGTAGCGTCGATCTTTGTGATCTTGTTCTTTTGCAAGATCAATTTCCTGATCTCCAATTTCGGAAACGGTTTCACGTGAACCAGCAAGTTCTCTTTGAACGTGGCTACTTTTATTCTTTTCTCTGGCCATTGCGAATCGTCGAAGTGGTTGGTCAAATTTCTGTTATCGCAATTTATGCTGTCATCTGATGGAAGAACATTTATTCATTTGTAAATCTCTACCTTGTATTTCGACCTTTGTCATTTCTTAAGCGAATATTTTATTCATTCGGACACGAGCGACGATAAACTGTATCGAAATTTGACTTTAAGATATACGATTGTGAGTTACCTGTACAAATGCACACGGTACATAAATTTGGAAGCGTTACTGCAAGTGTCGTCTCTTTCGGTTCAGTCGTTTGAGCTTCCACGGTTGCGTTTTTCGTATCTGTGGTGTTCGCAGCGATGGTAGCATTTTGACACTTAACCGTCGCAAAAGCGAGAATAAGAATAAGTAAGAATGGGTAATCCATAATTTCCTGCGAGATCAGCACCGGTAGAGCTACACACCAAAGACTGAAATCGCGTTTGTCCGTATCAAACTCGTTTGTCGCTGATAAGGAAGCCGATGATAAGATACCATTGATCATCGTTACTCATAGTTCCAAGTGCTTAAATCCTTTTAATTCACTTTATTTATCTTTTTGAAACGCAACATTTACAAACTTTACGATCTCGGGTTAGTAAAAATAATCAAATGTATTTTGTCGTTTGATTAATTTTATCGTGTCTGTAATAATTATAAATATTGCGTATTATTACGTTATCGATATATGTAGAGAGAATCGAATTAAATGATTAAAAATATTGTAATAAAATTACTATATCGAGATGTAAATATGATAATAGTGTTTTAATCAATTTATTTCTTCCGATTTGAATAACATAACCAATGAAAGTATAAATTAGTGAAAAGGGTATATACGTGTACTTACATATGCTATATATATATGCTAATGCATATATTTAATAAATTAAAGTATACAAGTTTTTTTATGTCAAATTCAAAAATGGCGCTTTAATTTGAGCGACACTTGAATGAACCAGCAATCGCATTGGTGTCGCCATCTGCTGTGAATTCGGGGTATTAATGAAGAAGAGAAACCTTCGCGAAAAGTATTGAATCGATGACGTCACAAAAGACGTGTCAGTGGAAGGAGTAGACGGGATTGTGGAGGAGCATGTTGAAAAATGTCCGATTACTTTAATTTATCGTACAGCGTGAATAGTGGTAAACAGAGGGGTTTGTGTTGACGCGCATGTGAACGGTAGACCGGTGTCGGTACATGATTATCGTCGAGCCCCGAGGTATCACGTGGACGAAAAGGAAATCAGTTTCCGAGTAGTCAGACACGCCGACCGAAATATCTTCGAAAAATAAAACTGGTGGACGGTGTTGTTTTGTTCCTGTAGGATTTGTCAGGACTGGCTTTCAGGATACGGTAAGTGGTCGAGAAATAAATGTTTTCTCGAATACTGTCATGCAGACAGCTGTTTCGATATATCGTTCGATCAGCCTAATTCCCGCTGAGTCGTGCACCTGTAAATTAGTGAGGTTAGGTTCGTTTATTCGTTCCTGGTGCGCCGATACATGCGAAAAACTTGTTTTGTGCGCAATGCCCCCAGTGAACGCCCATTCTTCGCGGTCTGCCTTGACAGAATTGCGGATTGATACGATCGATATTGTTAAGGGTCTTCCAAAGAGCGACTTTTTCGGATGACATCATGCGTACCATGCGACCGATGCCCGCTATCAACTGGTTCTCAATTGATATTCATTATCTGTTGTATTGCACGCTATAAACACTTCTTTTTCTCTCTTTTCCTGAATTGTTTTGAAATAATAACAGATACTATATGCATAAATTATCAAAATGTGTTATTTGAACAATTTAAATAAGGTGAAATGAATTTATTTTACTGAAACATTTTAGAAACGATATCTTGTAGAACAACAATGATCTTTATTGTACATACATTATTAATTTTTCTTCTTTTTCTTTATATAGCATAGTATGTTTCTTATTCTTGTATCTATCAAAAAGTTGGGTATTATTGTTAAACCATTCATTAATTTATCAACATTTTCAACTATAAGTAACTGGCGGGAACTTCAATTCAAAGGTGTATTATTCTTCCTGTTTGTAATATATAAATGTTTGTAACAATGGAATCATATATCAGTCGTGAAATTAAAAAAATGTTTAACAAAATTTCTCATAAATTATTATTATTTAAATGTATTAATTAAAAAAGAGAATTGTATGATAAATGGTATCATGATGGAATTTGAACGAAAATTAAAGTAAACGGAAAAGTATAACGGAAATAAACAAAGTTGACGTTTGATTAGTGGTAGTCACTAAGCTGAACTGCTTAACCCTATATCGGTAATCACGATCGGTTGCATAGTCGAGCTATTTGTGTTTCCATCTAGAACAGAATAATTCGTGCTAAGCGAATTACGTCAAACGATAAACACCGAACTTCGCAACGCAAGCGTATCCACGGTGAAACGAGAAAATCGCTGTTTACATCGATCAAGAGAACCGGTTGAAATCGTTCAGAGAATTTGTTGTGAAAAAAAAGAGTGAAAAAGATGCTGCAATGAAG